GATAGAACTGCAAAATACAGGCTATATGCCTATACAATTTCTATAATACAGCCGTGAAATACTATATATTGTAAATATTTCGTATATATATATATATATATATATATATTGTACATATGGCATATTTCATAAATATGGCTTATTCAGAAATATGGCATATTTCATAAATATGGCATATTTTAGAAACATGGCATATTTATAAAAAAATATATGGCATATTTAAGAAATATGGCATATTTATGGCATATTTCACTTTTTCTATACCGAATATTACTATTTTTGCCGTATTTCTGAAATCAACACGCGTATTACGTATTTTTATTTTCCAAATTTCATATCATATTTCATATTTCATATTTAACGTTTTCAGGGCATATTTATTATTTTAAAATAATAATATGCCAATTTTTCGCCATATTTATTTTCGAAAAATATGTGTTCCTCGGTCAGGACTCAGGAGTCTCAAGGACTCATGACTATGAGAGAGAGAGAGGGTCTGTGCCATTTTTATAACAAATAAAAAAAATGAATATATACATACTCTAAGAGCAAGAGGGAGAGAGATACGAGTCATACGACATGGAAAAAGCATGCCGAATTGTCGGGTGTATTGTCTGATGCATCTAGTAAGTAGCGACGCGACGAGCAGGGCCTGAACACTTATGTGTGTATAATGTTCACGATACGAACCAGTAAAAAACTTAAGTAGGGCCTTCTGATCACATTATAACCGCTACAACGTTTTAAAATTGAATAAATATGCGTTTGCGTTTAACTTCTATCCCGTACCCCATAACGTTATGAGCTTAGATTGACAGTTCCAAGTAATGACTAATGAGTAATCTAAAAAAGTTACAAAGTATATCCACTCCTGACCCCGGGGCCCGGTGTGAAGTACTGGAGTGTGAACTGTGAAGCTCTGTGAACAGTAAACACTGAACATGCGTGATGACATCATGATTACATGATAGTGATAATTGATATCTGATATCTCTATGACACTTCTATCGAGTCCTGGTTCTCAGTTCTGAGTTCTTAGAAACTTAGACTGCGGTCTGCGAGTTGAGAACAATTCTGAGTTTCTGACATCACTTTATTCTTGACTCTACAGTGAATCAATGTCAGAGTCCAAGTCTCCAAAACAGCAAACCCCAAGTCTACAGCTTACAGTTTACACGCAAAAGTCTACACTCAATAACACTCTACAGTCTACAGAGGTCTACACTCTACCGTCTCTCTTGTTGGACAGTATTATTCTAAAACAGTCAACAGTCAAGTCTCAACAGTTATCTAAACAGGAGTACATGATGTCAGACGATTATTTACTTTTTTTAAAACAAACAATCACATGAGAATTGAAATTGGCAGTAGCCCCGGTAGGCCGGTTTGTGGGCGGGGGCCGTTGCTAGTAGGCCATTATTTACGTAGCGCGTAGGCCGTAGGGCCGTAGGTGCCTTTATTGACGTAGCCTGTATGTAGGCTTTCACATTATTTACAATATAATTTTATATACGTATTTTGAAGGTTATCGTCATTTACGTATAGGTCCGTGTTTACGAAGCCCGACGCGACGACGCCCGTAAGGCGTAAGGTTGTAGCCTTTGTATGCGGCCGTAGCCCGTAGTGGCGAAGAGCTCGTTGGCCGAAGGTCGTAGGACTGACTGGACCTTGTCTGTCGGTATGTAGGATATAGGTCGTAGACGTAGGAGTCGGACGGCTGACCTGTTTTATTTTATTTTTAATATTACCAAACACTTTTTTTGTAACAAAAAAGATAATACGTTATGAAGTGCAAAGAGCAGACCAACAGCCATACTAATTTTCAACCGACCAATCGTGAGCATACGAGTTACTCAAAAAATAATCGTGAATTGACTATTTATCTAATATTCAATCGAAAACTATTATATTACTTTAGCTCTTCACCCTCATTCCGGAAACAGGATTCCGTGAAGTCCGAACTCCGAAGCACACTAATGAGTAATGACTAAAGTGAAATTGAAAAGCATCTCCACCAAGATGGTCGAGACTCTATGCCCCCCGCCAGGGCTCCTGCACCCCCGGACCAAGATGGTCAAGACTCTACGCCCTACGCCAGGGCGTCTCCACCAGTGGTCTCCACTCTCACTGTCTCATACTCCCAGATCTCAAGTCTTGAAGTCCCAGACTCCCAGTGAGTAGTGAGTACTGAGTAGTGACTAGTGACTGTCTCGTAAGCCGTAGCTTCGTACTCTCTACGCACAGTCCGACTCTGACTTCAGTATTTTCTATATATAAAAATAAACACGATCGACACGCAACCCAAGTGGCATGTATGAGACTATGCGCGACATCATTAACGAGAGAATATATAAAGAGATGACTTGTACAAAAGAACTTCAATCAAATATCAAAATCTCAAATACAACCATTTGTATACACAATACACATCATGAAATTCTCAACTGTGATGTTTTTGGCCATTGTGTCAATAACGGCCATCGTATCTGCTGCACCAGTTCAGCTGGATATGAATGAATACCATGAGCCCATTGTCAGCGACGTCTACGAGACCATGGAGTTCGATATCGAATTAGATGATACTCTGGTCGTACCCAACATGAACAGCTTCTAGTTTCAAAGTATGGGAAGGAAGAAATGTAAATGAATCTTGTCGTCTGCAAAGTAAATGTATCTTCGCCGATGACGAGTAAGTCCAACTACTGCGAGGATTCACTCTGATATAATGACTACCTTGGAAATGAAGTGCTCAGCTCCTATGTAGAGACACGAATGATATGAAGTAAAATAAAAGTTGATTATGGATTACAATCTCGCCAATATCTATTGCTGAAATTACTGCGATGATACTCGAGAGGCTGTTGTCACAGTAGATCGAACCTATACAAGTGGGAGGTCCGTTGTTATCATACACACGGCAAAGTCCATCTTGGAGTTCATTGCTGCGAAGCGAATGCTGTACTCGCATTCAAAAACAATATTTCTGGGCACATCTGTTTCCCGTTTGTAGTTGCAATTTTGTGTCGTTCTGTGCACACAAATGTTTCAGCTCTATTTATACTATGTAATTGGTAGATATGAAGTACTTCCAGGGGTGGCTTGGAAGCAACAGATCAATTATCAAACTCACAGCCGAATGAGTTTCTTCATTTTAGGCTCTATATGAAACTACAATTTCGAAAAATTGCAAACAAAACAGTTGCTTTTGCATTTACCTCTAATGACCTCATAGTACATGCATGGATGGCTGATTATCCACATGAATCTCACCCAAACTAGAACGCGCATCCCACTGGGAGTTTACAGGATAAGCACGATAAACTCGATGACCTTGTTCATTCGCATCAGTTTTCCTAGTGCTTTAATAGCGCCGTTCATGCATATAAAAACGAGGAAACATTGTTTTTAAAAAATACATTATTAAATTTTTTGACCTAAATTTGCTGATCACATAAAGCCCCTATAGAACCCGGCTTCACCGTGGTTTCCCTGCAGCTACAGTTTTCCGACAGCAACTTTGGTGTTCTGGCAAAGGAAAATTGGATATATTACGTTCAACCCAGTTGTAAATATGTACACAGTATACACATCCTCAGTACTTGCTATGGGTACAATATTATATAAAGGCTTGATCCCAGTAGGCCTCACAAACTCACCTCCATAATTGATGTGAATAGCACGGACAGCTTAAGTATGCAAATTTTCCCATCGAAATGCAAGGCACAATACTATGGTATCGGCACACTGCGCATTTTGTATCTGTTTCACTATGTTTGGTCAAATTATCTCCATGGCTGTTTGTGGGCAATAAAATCAGCAGCACCTCCCACGCACAACAGACACACACCCGGCTGACGAGTGTCACATGCCGTAGTAACCGTCCAGTCAGGCACGCACGACAGCGGCCAGTATTAAGAGGTGAGCCAAGCAAACACATAATAAAAATTGACTATTTCTCTGTATTTTAATGATCGAGTTATGTACAGGCAGGGTCGTTCGTTCGTACGGCAAGCGTTTGTGCCTAGGCTTCGTCTGCCACCGTCCAGCGATGTTTAGGCGCACAGTCAGTCCGGCCCGGGAGGAGTACGTAGTCTGGCGTACATATATATACGTTTAATTCTTACATATATATATATATATATACATGTATACGTATATATATCCGTGTATGAAGGCATCTAGATTGGCTTGATCTTGAAGTGCAGACCAATGAGGGAGATCACAAGACACTTCAGATCTTGTACCAAATAGTAAAAGGCGCGCAGGCCTTCGGGATCTGCATATACAAAGAAATGACAAAACACACCGATGGAAGATTTGAATAATCTATATAAAAGAGCAATTGTCTCAAAAACTAGCGAAAAGACAGTAATTATAAATGAGTGTTCCAAAGGCGAGTTACTCCAGCGGTATAAGTTGAGACCATGTTCGACAGTACAGTGACATCTCAGATCAATATTAATGGAAAATACGATCACGCCCAGAACCACACAGGTGCACACAAACAAGCTCTGTATTGCGAGGCAACGAGAATGAAAACATGCGGATGTACGCAAGCAGCACAAACTTACACATACTCAGATGATTGTTCAGAATGGTATTTCTTTTGCGGGTTAGGCGTGTTTTATATATATATATATATATATATATATGTATATATATAAACACGCACACACATGTATGTACATATATACATACATACAAACCCACATGTATATATATATATACACTTTATACAAACAAGCACACTAACATATATATATATATGTATATATATATACACACACATAGATATATATATATATATACATATATATGTATATAATATATATATATACACACACATATATATGTATATATATATATATATGAATATATATATATACACACACATATATATATATAAATATACATATATGTATACGATATCATATATATGTATATATATATAAATATATATATATGTATACGATATCATACATATATGTATGCATGTGTGCGTCTGTGTGTGCGTGCGTGCGTAAGTATGTATGTGTATGTATTTATATATATGTGTGTGTGCGTATGTATACATATATATCTATATATATATATATATATATACATACATATATACAGATATATATATATATACATATCTATATAAATACATATATTACTATAAGTATATATATATTACGATAAGTATATATATATATACTACTATAAGTATATATATATTACGATAAG